TCACCAAGCCAGACCTGAGTTTCATCTCCACATCCCACATGGCGGATGGACAGAATCAATTTCCACAATTTATAATCCAACTTCTACACCTGAGCTGTGACATGTGTATACAACACACACACGCACACACGCACACACGCACACACGCATCCACAAAATGAAACAAAGAAGAAATGATACCTAAGGTTGCCCTCTGGCCCCCACATGCATGGATATACACGTGCAACATAGAGCCATAGACATACAAAAATGCACACACAAGCAAGTACACAAACACATGAAAAAGAATAGAGTTCAAAAATCCTTGTTTCTTGGAATTCGTCTCCAAGCCATTGGTGTAAATGTCAACTCAAACAGAACCGAGAACACAGTGAATACTAAGTAAGGTACATCGGCCACCTGTGCTCGATAACCCCTCATGTTTTAGAATGAGCCAGAAACCAGCTTCAAACCTGCCTTCCTCTTCTACACAGATCCCCAGGACTCTGCAAATGTCTCCCCAAAGCTGTTAGAATAGATTCCTAGTTTCACAACTCTGTTGGTGTCACCAGTCCTAGGTCCTAGTTTAACATTAGAACCAACTGAGAAGTTTTGAAACTGCCACTTAAAAGGTTAAATATGGTTAGCCCATGACCCAGAAATTCTGTTCTTAAGCCAGAACCTAAAAGAAATGAGAGCAAATGCTCACACAATTTTATGAGCAAAGAACTGATTCCTGCTCCAACCTACGCCGTAGCTTCCTCTTCATGATGTCAATGCTTTGTGTGTCCCATTCCACCAGTTACCTTCCTAAGCCCTGAAGCCATTTCTGGCCCCTTCTACCTCAACAGTCTGCAGGATGATTCTGTCAGAGTTCTGTTGGGAATCCATTACGGACCCTAGGGCTCCTTTCCCAGGCGGCCGTAAGTCGCTCATTTTCTCTTCTAGGAAGCTGGATGCCCACATGATAACTTTTCTGGATTTGCTCTTCCTAGCTCCTACCTAGACAACAGACATTAAGTTACATTAAACATGTCAGCCTTGCTCTGGGGGCTGCCCAAGTAACCTCCTCTCTGAATAATTGTGTCCTGACAGAGTTAGTCAGTTACTGCCAGTGATTAAGAACAGTGGCCTTGTTATCAGACAGGAGTTGGATCCTGATTCTGGTACGGGCTAGGAGAGTGGCCTTAGGCAAATCCTGTTTTCTATGCCTCAGACTTTTCACCTATCAAGTGAAGATAGTAAGCCTAACCTGTGGCACAGCTATGAGGATGAAATTGTGGAAGTTCAGCCGTTTTCACCATCTGGCACCCTCCTGAGACTCCTTCCTAAGCAAGGCATCACCTCTGCAGACATGGCTGCCTGTAGTCTCCGTAAGGTCCCAGTGAATCTCCTCACGCACTGTTCTCTCATTAACACCAGGCATATCGATCTCAGAGCTAGTAACGTTCCTCTTCCATTTACAAGAAATTTCTAGTTCGCAATCACCTAGAACTAAGTTAGTTATTCAATGCAGTAGCATATCCAACAGGAAAGTTTGGAATACATCATTAAGAAGTAGTTAAGGCTTCACTGGTAAAACCCTTCCACCCAACTTAAAGCTTTGCTTTACGAAGTTGTTTTTCTCACACCTTGTCAGTTCTAACCAATTTCCTTTTCCCTCCTAAGATGGTTTGTATATGCTTGGCCCAGGGAGTGAGTGGCACTATTAGAAGGTGTGGCCTTGTTGGAGTAGGTGTGGCCTTGTTGGAGGAAGTATGTCACTGTGGGGTGAGCTTTGAGACACTCCTAGCTGTCTGGAAGCCAGTCTTCTCCTGTTTGCCTTCCGAACAAAATGTAGAACACTCAGCCCCTCCTGCACCTTGCCTGTCTGCATGCTGCCATGCTCCCACATTGATGATAATGGACTGAACCTCTGAACCTGTAAGCCAGCCCCAATTAAATGTTGTCCTTATAAGAGTTGCCTTGGTCATGGTGTCCTTTCACAGCAATGAAAACCGTAACTAAGACACGTCCCCCTGTATCCCTTTTAAAAAATAAATAAATAAACTCTTTATTGATTGCTACTAATTGTTCCAAGATCATACAGCCAATTGATGTATTAAGTTGAACAGCATCTCCCCAAAGTTCACAACCACTGGAACTTCAGAACACGATCCTCTTCGAAAATACATTCATGTGTGGTATCCTTTCTCAATGAGGAAAAGCTTGCTAGGCGATGTCATCACTGTCCCAGCATCGCAGGCTGTGTATGATCCTGCTGCCTGGTGCTTGTAGGAGCTAAACTGAGTCTACAGGACCTGGATCGGGTATCCATGTTCCCAAGTAGGATGTCGGTACACTTGTAAGTTGGATGGAAATGCAGGTTCGTGTTAGTAGTCGGGAAGAGGTACTTATTGCAAGGACTGGACAGGCATGTTGGCTTGAAGCTGTGCCTTTATAGTCTAGCCCTGTGATTTAGCAGAAAAGGGGGATGTGAGTTTGTTAATGGAGGAATGGGAATGCATTAGAAACTCAGGATTGAAAATCACGGGCCATGATCACTCACAGGGCTGAAGAAGGAGGACAGCTTAAACCCAGTTCAATACTTGCTGAACAATACAGACCTTATTCCAAGGAAAAAAAGAAGGATGGTTGCTTGACATTTTTTCTGTGACAATGGTGAGTGTTCACCAGGCTGCCTAGGCCTGGGTGGCTGGAGAATAAAACTTCCAGCTGTTTCTTTGACTTCTGCCCTTTCCTCTGTACTCTGCTCTCTTCTTGATCGCCTTTCAAAACAAAGTCAAACGGCCTGGCCCCTCTCATCCAGATGCTCTCAATCCAGCCCTCCTCTACCTCCTGGGGTCTAGATGATCTACCTCAAGGGGTCTGGATGAGAGCCCTAGCTGGCCAGCTTGCAGAACAGTGAAAGCCAGCCTCAGAGCATAGATTGCATCTGTCCCTTTGCTCCTCTGAAACCTCCCGTGGCTTTCCTTCTGATTCAGAGTAAACCTGTATGACTCAGAGCGAAGTCAGATTAAACTCTGCCCATAGCACAGAGTTCACTCCCCCGTCACCCAGCCTCTTTATAGCCGGGCTCTCAACACTGAGAGCTTTCCCTCTGTCCTCCGGCTCCTCCCTCACTTCCTGCAGGTGGGAAGCGTATCCTTTCTCTCAGTGTGGTCTCGGTCTCCACCCTTCCCACTTCCCTGCTTTACTTTCCTCTTAGTATTGATTCTAGCATATCAAATATGCTTACACACAAAACTTTCCAAATGTCTACCTTTTTCACCCCAAACACATGCTATAATATAAATTTCATGAGGAAATAGATGTTATTTTTGTCTTTCTGCTTGTTGGAGACAGGGTCCTATTATGTAGCACAGGTTGGTCCAGTAATTTACTAAGTAGACCAGAATAACCTTGAACTTGGACAATCCTACCTCAGCCTCCCAAGTGCTTACAACTATGTCCAGTGTTTTTATTTTGAGACAGGATATTGCTATCTACAGGGCTCAAACACAAAAACCACATATCCAAGATGTGAAAAAAAAATTGCAAAAAGGAAAAAAAAAACCCTCTCCTAATGTTTTAAGCAAGTTTACAATTTAGTCCTGCTTATAGCTAGGCCAGATGCAGGCAGCTGGTTGGACAACACCTCTAGCTGGTTTGTGCCACCACACCCTAGCTCGAGGAAAGAGGTGTTTGATCTGTGTTATTCACCAAAACCTAGAGGAAGATCTGGGTGTAGTTTGGTAGTTGGCATTCAACAGATGCTTGCTACAGGAAAGAGCAAATGATTCAGCAAATTGGGTTATAACAAGTCGCCAGCTGACTAAGAACACACAAAAACAGTCTAGTATACTAGACATCAGTGTGAAAAAAGACCTGGCATAATAAACACCAAGATACCAGGGCTCTGATCAAAATGACATAGATGTGGCCTTAAGCCTCTGCTGGTTCTTTTGCTTTAGATAAAGATTCCTGCTGCCTTTGGTCCTCTTGTCATTTCAACCTACACTTGCAGATTTACCGTATTTCCATAATCGTTTTCTGCCTAGGAATCTATGTGGCACTCCTCATCCACTGGCTCATGTTTTGCACATGCTACGAGTTAAAATACCATTCTGAAAATAGCCATTTGGCCTCCAATAAAATAACTTCCCCCATCACTACACGCCTAGAATGTACTTACTGAACAGTGATAAATGGTGACAATAAATAAGAGAGTGTAACTGTGCATCAAGTAGCTTCAGAACCTTAAATATACTCCTAGAGGCCCTAAAAGCTTTTTAAATTTGTCTCTATTGCACAGATTAATAGGGAGAAATGTTCCTAACAAATGAGAGACTTGAAAGTAACCAAACACTACCTCTGCTACTAAATTGACCGGATTGCAGGAAATTTCTAAATCTTTAACACTTTTTTATTTCGTTTTTTTTCTTTGTGTTTTATTGCTGTTTTGTTTTCGGCTCTCAAGATCTTCTTGCTCCTGTCTCCCTAGTTCTAGGTGGTAAACGGCAGTGGGCCCCGGACCAGGCCCTCAAACATTTCACTACTTAAGTTATTTTATGTGTGCGTGTATACATTTGTGTATGATCAAACAACTGTAAAACCTGGCCCAGCACAACAGGAAACTGTTCCGCAACATGTGGAAAAGAGAAGCAAACTAAGATGCCCTGGCGGACTCAGCCCACACTCCACCCAAATGAGGAGTCTGCGAGGGCGGGGAGATCCCGCTAAACAGAGCGGCCAACGCCCCGCCCACGGAAACGAATCCTTCTCAGGGGGCCTATCCGCGACACTATGTAAATAACGAGTGGGGCGTGGTTAGAGGGACGGCCGCTGTGGGCGGAGCCACTTCGGAAGAAGAGACGAAACGGCGGGCTAGTAATGATTGGCTGGCACGAAGATGGGCGGGGCCTAAAGGTAGACCCGCCTCGCCGAAGGTGGTGCCTGAGTTAGGAAGGACCCTGAGTGCGACGCCGCAGGCCCCCGGGGCGGAGCCGGAAGTGGGGCGTTGAGGTCTCCACCTCCGCGTCCCGTGAGCCGCCCGTTCCCCTGCTTCTGTTCCTTGTCCCCCAAAGTCACAGCCTGATTCCCGGAGGCCGGAGCCCTTAGCCTGGGCGGGGTGGCGCGGGCCGGAAGGACGCCATCCCTGCCTCGGCCATGGAGGCTCCCGCACCGTCTCTCACGGAAGAGGACTTGACTGAAGTGAAGAAGGACGTGAGTAGCTCCGCCGGGCTGGGTGCTGCGGGGCGGGCGGGGGCGGAGGAAAGCGGAAACCCGGAGCCGAGCGACAGGGAGGTTCAGGTCGGAAGAGCGCAAGGTCCGGGGCACAGCAGGACCTGCCTTGCTTCCCGGGAGCTGGCTGGAAATGACCCACCAGCGACCTGTGAATCCACGCCTAAACCTGTCGGCACTGGCTCGGATGCTTCTTTGCCATTCGCTTCCCGCTGGTGGCTTTCTATCCTGCTGATTCCGCACCCCACCCCATCCCCGCGGGAGCTGCTAAGGCTCGGGGTGGGGGGGACGTCGGAGTCCGTCTACAGCGGGCTCTGGACTAGATATCCCCAGGCATAGGGTAGATAGGTGAAGCTCGTCCGTACAGGGGGCTGCGGAAAGCTGCGGAAAGGTCGCCAGCAGAAAGCACGCCCTGGAATTCCCCTCGTAATCAAAAGCCCACATATTTAAATGAAGGGGGTGTGCGTACTTCTAGCTGAGACTTGATTCCCAGGTAAACGTTGAAAATACTCATGGCTAAATTGGACTCTTATGCTTACAACACGAGAACTTCACATACACATTAATATTTGAGGAAATGGCTTTAAGCACAACGTAATTCGGTTTTTCGTTCCCTTTAGTTACTTCTTTTGCCAGAACAAAATCAGATGGGCACCACTTAGATAATATACACGAATTCACATTTTTTAATTGGTAATTACTTAGCACCGCAATGCTATTGAAAAGTCGTCTTTTCGAACTTGGCCGCAAGTTGTTGAAGATGTACACGTGGTTCAGATCCATTTTTCTACCATACCTTTACCCCTTGTTAGGTTTATTGCACTGTACCCATAATTACAACTGGTATAGCTCAGTACCAGGAGGAAGAGGTACAACTGGGATTACTGCCAGTTTCCGTGTTCAGTGGAGTTGGTAGGGCACTTACCGGTAGTAAGGAAAGCTTCACATTCTGCTTGAGACTATGCCTTTGATAACCACTACAGTCTTAAGATTCCAGTAAACCATAAACTTATGGTAGCTATGCTCTCAGTTGTTTTTACACAGTTTTGAATTTTCTCACAATCATCAAAGTAACTTGTAAGGAAGAGAATTGCTTTCCATTTTATAACTGGCCAAACAAGACAAAACCTGTCTATAGATAGATGGCAGGCCTTTGTTTCTGCTCCAGGGGGTTCATTGATGTTATCCATTCTGACAGTTCCAGGATAGACCTGTATCAGATGTCCATAACCTTAGAGAAACTATGGACAGGCTTCAGGGTATCTATAAAAATAGTTGTTCTTAGATATTTACCCTATTTTTTTTTAACTGCTTATGGCGAGCCTAAGCGTTCATCTGCATTAAACTTTTTTTCTCAACTCCGGGCCTTTATTTCCAAGTGTCTACCAGAAACCAAGCTATCATAGCATACATTTGGTTGTTGTTTTGTTTTTCTGTGTATCTCTGGCTGTTCTGGGACTCACTCTGTAGACCTAGCTGGCCTCAACTCAGAAAGCTCCCTCTGCCTCCCAAGTGTTGGGATTAAGATATGAACCACCGCTGCCTGCTATGTTCTGATATTTTCAAAACTTGAGTTTTTCATTGTCCTTCCCCCAAAATTGTTTGGTGGTCCTTCTGTATTATCTATCTTGATAAATGGTAGGAAGTTGTTTACATGAGGCTCTGTCTGTCTCAGGGTGTGTTTTCTGTGGCTTCTGTGGCCTGTAGGTCAGCCATGGTCCAATAATATTTAATGGGAATTTGACACATTTATAATGGTACAAATTGAGCACTCACCGGGCAGTGGTGGCACATGCCTTTAATCCCACCACTTAGGAGGCAGAGGCAAGCGGATTTCTGAGTTCAAGGCCAGCCTGGTCTACAGAGTGAGTTCCAGGACAGCCAGGGCTATATAGAGAAACCCTGTCTCGGGGAGGGAGGGAGGAATATTGAGCATTCTTCTAAGTACCATGACAAAATCTTGTACAGTCTCACTGCATCTGAACCAGGGACATGAGTCACAGCTTTTTCCCAGTGTATTGCACTGTGTGTTACCGGCCTGTCAGTCCCTCAGCAGCTAGCTGTCTTGGTTGTTAGGTTAGTTTTATGGTGGAAAGCTTGGTATGGGGTTGGTACCATGAGATTTTACACATCTATTGAGAGTCTTGGTCCATGTCCTCCCATTTTAGGGGGGAGCACAGCCCTCCTGCTGATCCCCTGGAACGTACATCTTCAGCGCTCTTCCCTTTTTCATCTGTTTATTTAGCATGCTCTTATTTTGAATTTGTTTCACTTTAACATATATATATCTTTATACTCTGAAGTTGATAATGTAATCTAACAGTTAAATTAAGAACTAAGGGACTAGAAGAGATGGCTCAGCAGTTAAGAGCACTGACTGCTCTTCCAGAGGTCCTGAGTTCAATTCCTAGCAACCACATGGTGGCTCACAGCCATCTGTAATGGGATCCGTGCCCTCTTCTGGTGTGTCTGAAAAGAGCAACAGTGAATTCACATACATAATATAAGTAATAAAAAAAAAATTGAAGAACTAAGACAAAATTCTGTTTTTTAAAATAGCTCAATTTCTTGATTGAAGGAAAACAGCCATAAAATAATAACTTTAAAACATTATAATAAAATTTTCATTTATCCAAAACACTAGACTCTGAAATGCAGAGTATACAGCAGTAAACAGAATGTTTGTGGGTTTTACCTGCTTCAAACATATAGGTCGTTAAAGTTGAAAAGTATGTATATCATTTATGCAATTCTCCATTTGTAAATGTAGTCAGTGCTCTGAAGACAAACACCAGGGCATTATACTTGCAATAGGATAGTTAGATGTGCTTACTTTTGATTCCTAAAGGTTATGACAGAGCTGGGGGAAGAGCATTTGAGACAGAAAATTTGACAAGGACCTAAGTCAGGACCTTTGAAGTTCAGAATATTGAAGGATGGCAGATGGAAACAAGGTGAATTAGGAAGGTAGGCTAAGCAAACTCTTGAAGGTCTTAACTTTTTTTCTCTTAGTAGAGTCCTGCTAACAAATTAATGGGATTTTATTTGTTTGACTTTTAAAGATCCTTCTGCCTTTAATTCTGTAGACCTGAGAGATGAGGGAAAGTGGGAAAGGCCATGAGAGGACTTGGCTGGACTGAAAGGCAGTGATGATGTGGATTGAGGTGGAGGCCATAGACTCGGATAAACTCAAGTGCAGGGTGCATGTTAACCACACAGAAAGGATGGGACGTGGAGGAAGAGTGAAGATCAAAAGAGAGCTCTGAACTAGAGATACAAGTGTTCTATTGAAACAGTGAGAACCAGCCCCAAGCTCTCGAGCCGCAGTCCCCATCATTAGGGAGGAGACAGAAGGATCACAACTTTGGGGCCCCAGAGGGGATTAGAGGTACAGAGAGAAGTTTCATAGAGATAAAGAAAATCAGGACAATGTCGTGTTTGTTCAGCAAGGAAAATGTGTCTGGAGAAAGGAGTGATGAGCTGTGTCCCTGCTCTGAGAAGCCAAATACGATGAAGGTGGGAAGGACCCATCAATAGAGGAGGCCATTGGTGGTTTGGGGAAAAGCGTTGGGACACATGGAGATGAATTGGGAAATGAGGTGAAAGCTGGAGTCACTGGGTGCTGCAAGACAGGAGTGTCTTGCTCATCCTGAATGTTAAAGTAAGGCTTCCAGAGATGACCGGTAATCTCAAGCTTAAAAGATGCACTCAGACACATAGCAGCATGAGACAGTGCTAGTCCTCAGTTGTAAATAGAGAAGTCTTAGGGTAGGGCACTGCTGAATCAAGCTGGAGAGGAAGCCAGCGCCATATGAAGAGTCTTGCCTGCCACAGTCCAGTAGTTACTGGTCATTGAACCTCTACTGTGTAGAAGAGACTAGACTGAGCCTTCAGCACACTATCTCAGTTAGTCTTCCTAGATGGGTTTAATTCTGTATCCTTATTTTGTCAAGACCCTGAAGGTACCATGGTTAGGTAGTTTGTACCAGTTCTCACAGTATGTTCAATTCGGGATTAGCAGAAGTTTATGCTCTTCTTAATTATTTTTTAGATTTTTTTTTTAAATATGTGTGTTTTGACTGCATGAATGTGTATATACCATGTGTGTCCCTGGTGTCTACAAAGGGCAGAAGATGGTGTCAGATCCTCTGGAAGTAGAGTTGTGGACTATTGCGAGCTATCATGTGGGTACTTGGAAGCAAACTCATATCCTCTGCAAGAACAAGTGCCTATAACCACTGAGCTATCTCTCTAGCCCAGTGCTCTCAACTATTGTGCTGTGGTTCAGGACTGTCCAATAAATCATGGGCAGAACACAGTGTTGGTATCATTTATGTAATGATTCAGATTTCTATTTTCTCTTGAAAATTGTAAGATCTAATACATATATAAAAGAGAGATTTGAGAAGGAGGAGACAACTACAAAATGTTACTTTTCTATAATCAGTCCATGCAGGATTTAGGACCTGAGCTAGGACAGGGTCCAGAGTGGTGTTGGAGCCATGGTGACTGGGCTTACGATGCCTGGCTTGTGTGTGCTGTCCAGAGTGGTGTTGGAGTCGTGGTGATTGGTCTTACAATGACTGGCTTGTGTGTGCTCTCCAGAGTGGTGTTGGAGCCATGGTTATTGGTCTTACAATGACTGGCTTGTGTGTGCTGTCCAGAGTGGTGTTGGAGTCGTGGTGACTGGGCTTACGATGCCTGGCTTGTGTGTGCTCTCCAGAGTGGTGTTGGAGTCGTGGTGACTGGGCTTACGATGCCTGGCTTGTGTGTGCTGTCCAGAGTGGTGCTGGAGTCGTGGTGACTGGGCTTACGATGCCTGGCTTGTGTGTGCTTCAGTTGCCCAGCTAAACCAGGAGCCCTCTGTACGCGGTGTTAAACTCTGTTCATCTTTTCATAGTCACACTAGAACCTTACACATCCGAGGTTTGCTGTGTAGACAAGTAAATGTGTGTGGAAACTCAGTACCCAAAACCCTGTCAGATGCCTTCACTGGGACAACTCTCCAGCCTTTATTTACTAACTTGGCTCTACTGAAATCTTCCACTGCCTTTAACCCATCATTATCAATGTGAGTCAAATTAATCACCGTCGTCATTGCCCTAACAGGATCAATCGATTACCGTATATCATGCAGTTTCTAAATACTCTGCGTATATTAATTTATTCCTCTGAACTGTCACATGAGGAAACAGACACAGGAGTTGATTTGCCCAAAATCCCATGTCTAGTCAACGGAGGCATGGGTATGAAGTGATTGGCATCAGATTATCACCATTTATTAAGACAAACATGGGCCTGATTTAAACATCACACAGTGCATGCCTGAGAATTAATTACATGGTACCTCATTAATACGTACACATTTTTATGTTTCATTTAAAACTAATGAAGTTAAATACATAAAGACTAGCCTGAGCTAGCTTTCCTTACTGTAGGCTTTCCTCTGGTCTCCCCCCTTTCCTTAGTTCTTTAGAACTCTCTGGTTCTCTATGTTCCTCTCTGTACTTCCCTGCCTTCTCCCTTCCTTCTCAGAGGACTGACTCAGTGAGGACTTCTCTTCCTCCCTCCCTCATTCCCTCCCTCCCTCCCTCCCTTCCTTCTCCTTCCTTCTCCTTCCTCAAGGACAGTCTCAGTGAGTTGTATCATTTTTCTAACTAGCCTCAAAGCAGGGACATATAGCCCTTGGAAGGATTTGGGTTTTGTGTGTGTTTTAATGGTTTCACACTGAGGTGATGTACTAATTAATAATAAACATGAAACAGTTGCAAATTGCAAATTGTGAGACTCCACACTAAGTTGTCCTGGTCTAATTCTGAAATTCTTTACTTGATAGTTACTGCAATGTACAGAAATTTGTTTTTAGCTTTCCTCCTGAACTAGGTGACCCTCTGCAGACTTCTTGTTTCTACAGGTCCCTCCTCACAACAGCTGGGTGTTAGTTTTCAGGTGTGAAGGTGAAGCAGAACAGGGCACTCTGAGGACTGTGTGGGACCCGCTTGTGCTGCTGGACATCATCTTACTTAGCATGCATTTTAAAGGACCCAAGCCTCCCGACTTCAGAACATTGCCTCATACCAGTTAAGACTTGAAACTAATAACCAGTCACCTGCGATTTCCCTGCATGGTACAGAGTTACACTGAAGCCTGTCTTCTTTTGTCTCTTAGGCTTTAGAGAATTTACGTGTATACCTGTGTGAGAAAATCATAGCTGAGAGACATTTTGATCATCTACGTGCAAAAAAAATACTAAGTAGAGAAGACACGGAAGAAATTTCTTGCCGAACTTCAAGTAGAAAAAGGGCTGGGAAGTTGTTAGACTACTTACAGGAAAATCCCAAGGGCCTGGACACTCTTGTGGAATCCATTCGCAGGGAGAAGACCCAGAACTTCCTGATTCAGAAGATAACGGATGAGGTGCTGAAGCTTCGGAACATAAAACTGGAGCACCTCAAAGGTGAGCACACTGGGGAGCGGAGAGCGAGGGGAGCGCGGGGAGTGAGGAGAACAGCGGAGAGCGAACAGAGAGCTAACAGAGATCGAGGGGAGCGAGGGGAGGAGGGAGCGAGGGGAGCTTCAGACCCATGGCCAGTGGTTTCCAAAGGCTTAGGGGTCAGAATTATATTCACTTTACATTTTTACCAGATACATCATCACGGCACAAAAGTGGCGTAAACTCATTTGGCTCTATTTGTGTTTACTTTACAATAGTGTTTGTAAAAGTTTATTTCTAAAGTACTGCCATTAACTTAATCCACTCACAAATAAGCTCAGAAAATACCATTGATTACATTGTTTGTTTGTTTGTGTTTTTCGAGATGGTTTCTCTGTATAGCCCTGGCTGTCCTGGAACTCACTCTGTAGACCAGGCTGGCCTCGAACTCAGAAATCCACCTGCCTCTACCTCCCAAGTGCTGGGATTAAAGGCGTGCGCCACCACTGCCCGGCCCATTGATTACATTTTAAGAAGAGGAACCATGTGACTTATGCCTGTATTCCTAGACACGGGAAGCTGAGGTAGGAGGATTGCCACAAGTTCAAGGCCAACCTGCCTTACACTGTGAGTCCCAGGTCAGCCTGATCAATGGAGTGAGACCCTATCTGTACCAGCAAGTGAAGAGCAGTCCCTAGCAGATGGTTGTTAAGTTCAGCTCTGCTCTCCCATGTGTAAGAATCCTGTGTAAACCGTACATGAGTCTAAACCTGGAAGCAGTCAGTTTGTGAGAGGCTGGGAGCTGAGCTGGTAATCGAGGAATAAGTCACCTCGTGTCTCACCCTCAGCCCAGCCCACACTGAGCTTCATGTAGAGTGTCTGGGTCAGGTTTGGTGGTACACAGCTATAATTCTAGCAACTGGAGGCTTAAGCAGGAGGATTGTGATTTTTGAGGCAAACCTGGGCTATGCTGTAAGACCTTGTCTCAAAAAACGAGTGAGTTCTACACAGAGAAACCCTGTCTCAAAAAAACAAAAAAAAAAAGGTTGTGAGTTCAAATTGACTTTTAGACTTAATTGGTTTTACTTAAAATTTTACCCCAGGGGTTCCTGGGCCTGTACATAGCTATGTGGAGTGTTTACCGAGCAGAACAGATAGTGTTGGGATTCATCCTGTTGTCCTGGGGCCAGTTGTCCATTAGACCCTCAGAATGTGATAGAATTCTAGGAAGGAATAAGCACAGTTGTTAAGTGTTGGCTGGAGAGCCAGTCTCTGTTGACTGGTCCCACTCGGCACACAGTCCTGGAGTGCTGGCCTGGCTCACCTGTCCAGTGCCTGTTTCTCATCCCTCATAGTAACAGTCTCCAGTGACTGGTCACTCCCCTTACGTTCTAACACCCTTTACTCAAGAATCAGTAATTGCTTTGATTGGTTGTGAGATTTCAGGATGTGCCTGGTTCCATTTCAGTTTTATAAAGCATATATATTTCTTTTTATTTCTTTTTTTATTTTTTTGCCAGAATACCAAAGAATTTCTTACATAAGAGTGGTAGTGGTAATCCTAGCACTCAGGAAGCCAAAGCAGAAATTATCTGTTTCTGGGTCATCCTGGGTTGCTTAGCAAGTGCAGAGCTAACCTAGGCTAGAAAGTGAGACACCCTCTCTCAAGGTAAAAAGATTAGCTATAAAAGTTACTTAGTTCATAAAAAATTACAGGACCTGCTTCCCTCCCCCCATTAAGATTTGTTTTTATGTGTCTAAGTGTTTTGTCTGCACGGGTGCCTGGTGCCTGCAGAAGCCAGAAGAGACCATTAGATCCCTGGAACTAGAGTTACATATGTTTGTGAGTTCTGTGTGGATGCTGGGAACTGAACCAAGGTCACTCTGAAAGACCAACCAGTGCCCTTAACCACTGAGCCACCTTTTGGCCTCCTGCCTTTTCTCCCCCCCTAAAATCACTCAGCCATTAACTATGGAAGTATATTTTGAATGTGAATAATGTGGCATTTAATTAGCTTTCTTGAGACAATGTCCTCAGCTGGAAATGTAAACAGTAGTAGTCTTATTAAGAAAAAAGGTGAGATTTGAAGTGAGTTACGATGACAGCATTTATACATTGCTGTGCTGCTGACAGGAGCCAGCCTTGGCTACATGCAACCCTTCCTCAAACAACAAATTGTAGTTGTTTTATAACAAGCCCGGAATCCCTAAGACGTTACAAAGTGGGAGAGGTGTCCATGTCTGCCGTCTTTCTCATTTGCATCTGCGTGTTCTTTTATAGGCCTGAAGTGCAGCAGCTGTGAGCCCTTTGCAGCTGGGGCCACCAACAACCTTTCTAGGTCCAATTCGGATGAGAGCAATTTCTCTGAAAAGCAGAGAGCGTCCACTGCCATGTACCACCCAGAAGGAGAGTCCAGCACTGCTCCTTTCTTCTCTACTGAGTCCTCCCTGAATTTGCCAGTCCTGGAAGTTGGCAGAACTGAAAACAGCAGCTTCTCTTCGGCCACATTTCCTCGACCTGGGGACCCCGGGGCCCCTCCTTTGCCCCCAGACCTTCGGTTGGAAGAGGGGGGCAGTTGTGGAAACTCGAGTGAGCTGTTTCTCCCCTTACGGTCACGGGCTCTCTCACGCCAGTGACGTCACTGCCCGGCTGTTTTAATACGGATGCAAAACGGTGTGAAGGATATCATCTTTTTATAAAAACCACGGTGACAGGTCGCTCACATTTGATGTGTGTCTTTTAAATCACAGTGTACACATTCTCTGTAAATAGGATTTGTTAGAGTAAAGAAGCACAGTCTAGGGGCAGCTTGGTGTAAATCATGGTGGTCATGTACTTTTCAATATTGTCCTTTTTTATTATTTTTAGATGTTTTAGTATTTTGAACTTTTTATAAGACTAATTTTATCAGAATATGTCTCAATTTGAGAAAACAACTTGTGGGTTGAGAATAATGTTTCTTAGCACATTTATGCTACAAATTTTCAGTTGATTGTTTTTCCCAGTGATCTGGCAATACATTTTAGCAGTAAGCTGTTCTGACTTTCAGGAAAGCTGGACACTGGGAAAGCTGCCAACACACTCAGGAGAACGTCCCACTCCTTGGTTCTGAGAATCCGTCGGGTTCTGAGAAGACACCTGATGGCATTGAGCCTTGTGACTTCAGTTGACCCAAATGTGTTTTATACTAACCTTGCCAGCATGAGTGTTTGTTTGCCTTTTACAGGCCTTCCTGTGTCCTCAGTCTTATCCTGAAGAACGTTATCCAGCAGGACAGTACTTGTAATTAGTTGACTGTACTTGTGATTGACTAACATTCTCGCTCTGAGCCTTTCGTTCTCTCTCGGTGAACACTGCCGTGTGGAGCCCGGGTAACCTGACTGGAGTCGGTGACTATGGAGTGTGCTGTAGGCAGTTCCTTCTCTCTCGGTGAACACTGCCGTGTGGAGCCCGGGTAACCTGACTGGAGCGCACAGTAGGCGGTTTGCTTTTAGTACTTGCATCAAGCAGCCTCCTGCTCCTGCATCTGTGCTTTTACTGTATCACAAAGTTTGACTAACTTTACACATTTAAAAATGTTGATTGTTTTCATTTAAATTATAATTTTACCTATTTCCTGATACTTAATGCCTATATATTTCTATTTAAAAATTAAGATGAAAAGTTACTATTAACAATAAAATTTTTTTTAATGTAAAAAAAACTGTGATGTGTCCGAGTCAGAAATTCAAAATGTCTGATTTTCAAAAGTCTAACCCTTTTTCTATATACTAGTTTTTAAGGTAGAAAACAGTATTTCGGAGTCAAATGTGGTACACACTGATGATTCTGCTCTTAGGAACTAGAAGACAGCATCATGAGTTTGAGGCAGCCTTGGCTACAGAGTGAGTTCCAGGTTAGCCTGTGTCTTAGTTAGGGGTTTGCCATGACCAAGGCAACTCTTACAAGAACATTACTTAATTGGGGCTGGCTTACAGGTTCAGAGGTTCAGTTCATTGTCATCAAGGCAGGAACATGGCAGCATCCAGGCAGGCATGGTGCAGGAAGAGCTGAGAATTCAACATCTTCATCTGAAGGCTGCTAGCAGAAGACTGACTTCTGGCAGCTAGAATGAGGGTCTTAAAGCCCACATCCACAGTGACACACCTCCTCCAACAAGGCCACACCTCCTAGTAGTGCCACTCCCTGGGCCAAGGATATACAAACCATCACAGCCAGGTACATCGTCATCAAGACTGTCTCTTAAAAGTGGCAGAGAGGGAAGAGGGAGGAGAGGGGAGTGCAAAAGGAGAGACTTGCTTGACTCAGTAGCATACAATTTGTTAGTAAGTGGATGCTATACTTAAAAAGTTACTTTTCAGGAATACCAGACTAATACAGCATAAAAATTACACTCCACATTCACCTTTTTATTGCCGTTTTTAAAAAGTCATGCTTTTTCTACAGTTACAGGCTTAAACAGAAAAATTGAGCATAAGTAATTACGTACCCCTTCTTCACTGATTCCCATACTTCTTACATTGATGTGAAAACTTGTCATAGCTTATGAACCAATATTAATTGTTATTAACCAAAGTCCATATTGGGGTCCTCCATCATATAACTTGAAAGTTTTTAGAAGTGTATAATTTTGCATATCAACCCAAAAAATACACCAAGTAGCTTATTTTCACTGCCTTAAAAATTCTTTCCTGGTGCACCTGTTCAGCCTCCCTTCTGTCCCAACCAACTCTTCTCTAGACCTTTTCTAGAAAGTCGTAGTGTTGGGGCATAAAGATGGAGGCCTCCTTGGGCGGTTTCTGTGGGTTCCTCTATGAAGAGAGGCACATCCTTAGTAGAATACTGCAAGGCCAAACAGGCCAGAGGCGTGGCTTAGGTTGGCTCTTTTTTGTTTTGTTTTTAATTTTTTTAATTTTTGTTTACATTTTTCACTTAATAAATAACTGTGTGTGTGTGTGTGTGTGTGTGTGTGTATAGTATGTATATGAGTTCATGTTAGTGTGTGTGCCTATGTATGGAGTCCAGAGGCTGATGTCTATTGTCTTATTTGGTTGTTCTCCATCTTACTGTTTGAGACAGTGACTTGCTCAGCCTGGAGTTCACCATTTGGCTATACGGGCAGCTCCTGGGTTCCCCCTGGCTCTATGTTCCCCAAGCCCTAGGTTTACAAATAGACTATTACACCCAGCTTTTATATGGGTGTTAGGAACCCAAACTCAGGTGTTCCTGTGTGTGCAGTCATCATCTTACTAACTAAGCCATCTTACAGCCCTTGATTAAACTCTCTGAGTTTAATTTTCTTTTCAAGGTCAGAACTTTTATTTAAACACCACCACTACAGACAGCCAACCAGTTTACATACAAACTTTCAGACTATCTGTCTATCCTAACTAATCCAGAAGCAAAACATGTTTCTCCTTTCGGGCTGTCGTCCTATCCTGAGGCTTCTCAGTCCATTTTACATTTAGTTAATCTTTCCTTTATTAATAATGAATACAGTTTCATTGTTGGCAGCTCTCATCTTCTGTAGTGGGACTTTCTCAGATCCACCAGTGGTATAAATAATGACACGGAGACTTTTAATATAGTGTAAAGCTTAGGCCTTCTCCTAAGGCAGTCTCCCAGCTAGCTCACCTAACTTGACAATCTTGCCTACAACCTGCCTTACAGCTCCTGCTATACCTTTCTGTGCTGTGGTTCATGTCTGTCCCTTTCTTTCTGTGCTGTGGTTCATTGTCGCGCCCGCCTCGCCAGCAAGGATGATGCAACAACAGGATCCTTCCTCACACACTTTATTGGGGAACACACCATTGATTGTAAAGCGAAAGACCCCCAGCCCAAAATGGGTGCTGCTTAAATAGTTATCACAACTGTGTATAAGTGTCTAATTGGTGTTTCTTACAGAACTTCATTTACATACTACTCGGGAGGGTGAGGAGACGTGTCTGAAAGATACGCAGGCTCACAACAGATGTTTACGACCCTAAATACAGTTGTTTTCCACCTCAAACAGAACAAGTGCCATCTTCTAATGGCGGCTCCTTACAGTTCATGTCTGTCCCTTTTTTTCTGTGCTGTGGTTCATGCCTGTCCCTTTCTATGTCCGCTCTCGAATCTCCAGCGTCTCATCTCTTACTCTCCCTTATTCTCTCTCGAGTTTAAATTTTTTTACGAAACATTTATAATTTTTTTGTTATTTTAGTTTTTAAGAATCTGTGGCTATTTCTTGCCATTCTTTTTGTTTGTTTTGTTTTTAAGATTTATTTGTTTTGTGTAGAGGAGTAGACTGTAGCTGTTTTCAGACACACCAGAAGAGGGCATCGGATCCCATTACAGATGGTTGTGAGCCACCATGTGGTTGCTGGGAATTGAACTCAGGACCTCTGGAAGAGCAGTCAGTGCTCTTAACTGCTGAGCCATCTCTCCAGCCCTCGAGTTTAAATTTTTAATGCTAGAGATTTTTATCTCATCTGAGAGACTTCTGCCACCCCAACATCTTGATACTATTCTCAAGTTTCCTGGAAAGTCTGTGGTTTTTACTTGTCCATGTTGCTTCATTATGGTTTGTTTTTCAGTCTCACAGGAACTTGGGGTGTCCTCAAACGCACTATTTAAACAAGCATGGCCATGGATGTCAGATCCTTGTACATTCACCCCCATTTCCTCAGCGCTGAGATTACAAATATGCACCATCACGACCAGTTTATAGAGTGCTGGTAATGGAGCCCAGCACCCCTGCATACTACACAAGCTCTGCCTCCTGAGCTACATTGATTTGGCTTATGTTTCCAGAGAGCAGCTGAAGCTCTGAAGGAGGAGTCATCTGGGCCACTCCTTCCTCTTGTCCCTCTCCCCTTGGTTGTCTTATGCTGTATTCTTTGCTGTAGTAACCTAATCTACAGCTGTAGCTGTGGTTACTCAGCTCTCAGCAGGTTCTATAATTCTGTCACATTATCAGGCTGGAAGGATGGGTGAGGGGACCCTGAGTTTGCAGAACTGAGGATGATTTGAGTAACCCCAGGGCTTTGTACTTTGGGAACAATTGTATCTCCGTCAAGTCTAGATATTTGTATGGAAGGAACTTTTTCTATAAACACTAAGACCTATTATCTCAGAAACTATAATCCAGCAACATTCATTAATGTAGTCCGGGGACGGCCACCAAAATAAATAGTAGGAATATAAATCTGAACAAGGCAGTCTAGCCCCTTCCATTACCAAACTCACAGTATTGTCCTGTAGAACTTAGGAGATAAGAATCAGACCAAACGGCAAGTGTGTCACCTCTGACCAGGCATTCTCAACTGAGATCTAAATATTTACAATGATACCAACTTCGGGGGGGGGGGGGGGCTGTGTAAAATTACCGCATTGGCCTCTAATTTGTGGCAATCCTCCTGCCTCATCCTCCCACGTGCTGGAGTTAGAAGTGTGCGTCTCCATCCCCTGCTCGTTTCTTCTGTTTTGTAGGCTGTGTCTCCTTATACTACTAGCTGTTACAGAGGATCTTACATGTACCTCGCTGGCCCTCAAATCTACAATAGCCCACCCTCCTCAGCCTAGGATTATAGGTATGCATCACAATATTTGGCTTTTTCTGTGCTTTAAATTTCAAACCCAGAGTGTGACTGCGGCCACTGGTTTCCCTCTGGGTATCCTAAGGCTCCCACTGCTTTTTCCCAGGGGTCCCTAGGAAAAAGAAAAAGCAAATACTTTGCTTGAGGATTGTGGAATCCCCGCCCCCAGACTCTTTCCAAACTCCGCCCAAGAGTAGAAGCGCGGCTCCGCCGCTAGGGGGCGCAAACCGATCACGTCCCAGCCTAGGGGGCGGGACCAGTCGTGGGTTCCGGCTTCTGGCTTCCGGCTTCCGGCCGAGAGGGTGGGAACCCGCGGCCGTCATGGCAGCTGAAGAGAAGGACCCGTTGAGCTATTTCGCGGCTTACGGGAGCAGCAGCTCCGACTCGTCGGACGAGGAGAACAGCGAGCCGGAAGACGCGGGTCGTAAGGAGGGGGCCCCGGCTCCGACGTCGGGCGGCCGCGGGAAGCAGGCGGAGAAGCGGCTGCCGGGCCCGGACGAGCTGTTCCGCAGCGTGACCCGCCCGGCCTTCCTCTACAACCCGCTCAACAAGCAGATCGACTGGGAGCGGCATGTGGTGAAGGCGCCCGAGGAGGTGAGGTCCCCGGCCCCGCGGCCGTCCCGGGGCCCGACGCCCGCCCCCCACACGCACTCAGCCCGCGGCATGCCGCGCGTCCCCACGGCCCCGGGAGCCCGGGGGGTGTCAGCCCGGGCCCGCCCCTCCGCGCTCGGGGTCCCCAGCCGGGCGACGACTAACGGTGGTGACTCCCCGCCCCCCGCTGCAGCTTCTCC